CAATGAACTTTTAAATTCATAAATAAGTCTTTGCACATCTGATCTTGTTTCTCTTGAACAAATATCTTGGATTGGAATGATCATACAGTAGATGCATGCTTCATTTTTAAGAATCTGCCAACCTTCTTAAGACGTGAAACCATCATCTCTAAAGTGGTGACATTTTTTATAATACATAAAACAAAACTCAGACAAAAAGATTCTCATTGTGTAAACGACCAAACTAGGCCTTTCACTCCCACCCAGAAAGCCAAACTCTGAGCCACCAGAAATATCATTACACAGACAGAGCAGTTTATTTGAAATGACTACCAGGCCTTCACTGTGTAGGCACCCCCCAAAGACTCCCTCCCCAAATAATGAGAGTGCTTGGATTATATAAGGGAGGAGTGTGAGAGAAGGGCAGGGTCTCAAATGCCCAGGCCCTAGGAGGGTGAGGCAGTCTAAGCAACAGGAGCCAGGGTCTGACTTCCCCCTCCTGCATTGTCTCATCATCCAGCAGTGATTAGCTTCCCACCCCAGGGGACACAGAGAACTTTATCGGGATGTAGTTTCCAAGTTCCCAGGTGAACTTGGATGCAGCCAGATAATGTTTAATTCCAAGGATGAGAAAGGGGAAAGGGCAACAAAAAGTGGGTACAGTTTAACTCCACTTATTTCTATTTTTAGTCTAGGGGAGGTTTTCATGTTGCAAAATGGAGAGGATCCGGCCACAATTGTACTTTTATTCACAACAGGGAATAACTGGAAACTACCTAGATGTCAGTGAGGGCAGCGTGGTGAGGTCAATTCTGTCACCTCCAGACAAGGGAATATTATGTAATTCATAAGAATGTATGAAGATTTTATATGCTGAGAAAATTATTCTGGGTAGAATGGTGAGTGGAAAAAGCACAATATATCAACCTTGGTGTTCATTTTAATCATTATAAAACAATTGAAAGAAGAGGCACCCCCAAAATGGGATCCTTTCCTTCGTTTATCAATTCTTTATGGGTTATATGTTTTGCATATATCTTCTCCCTGTTTCCTTTCTATCTTTTCATTTTCTTAATGATGTCTTTGGAAGTATAAGCAGTATGAATTTTAAGGAAGTCCATTTTATTTTTATTTTATTTTTGTTTCATTTATGACCCATACTTTTAGCATTGCATCTAAGAAAACTTTGACAGGCCTACTGAATTCTGAAGATCTGTGTTTCCTTCTAAAAGTTTGTTTTAATTCCTCTAAGTCTATGACTCATCTTGAGTTAATCTTGGTGTTTGGTGTGTCTTGTGAACATCTAAGTTCATCTTTTTGGTGTGCACGTGCTGTTTTATAATAAAACACTTTCATGTTACTATCCATAACAGCTCAATATTCTACTTCATGATCAGACTAGAAGTAGAGTTTAACAACTGTCTCCCAAAACAAAATTAAACACGGCCCTGACTTTTAGCATTTGCCAATTTCCCTGGTGTAAATGCTTCTACCAAGCCCAACATGAAGCTACCAGTGACACAGATCGTCCTGGAGTTGGGAAGAGATTACACAATGGTTTCTAGTGAACTGCTACTAATTGGTTGCAGAACATTGCTGAATCTAACCAATTCCTGAGGGATTTTTGGTTTGTTTGTTTGCTACTTGTTTGATCCTCTTTTTACTGTCAACATACAAAAGATGCCCAGAAATCAGGAAGAAGCAGTCGATAGAATTAACAGCTATAAATAAATGCTGGTCCGCAGTAAGCACAACTTCTGGCAGCCTTCCTAACACCACTTTTGCTATGCCATTCACAATTTCTTTCTGGACTATTCCCAGACAAACAAACAAAATCAAGTTTTGACTAAACAAGACAAGCACCAAGTTCTTTGCACTTCTGCAATTTTGCAAAGACACATTGAAATTTAAATGATGTGAGCAACAGAGCCACTTCTCTTCTTCCTTCCCTGTCAGAAATGAAGTATCAAATGAAGCAAATACTGCAAGATCAAGCATGGTTTGGCAGTGTGCTGTCAAGTGTGAACAGCCAGAGTGTCAGCTTCCTGAATGTGTATTGGTAAGGACATCACTGGACTCTGAACAGTTTCAAAGAAAATGTTCTAATCCAGCCTTCAAGGAGAACCTTGTAAGACAAGCAAATAAAACCAGGGGGCAAGCGAGGCAGACAGTTTTAGCAAATACCCATGTTTGTACCTCTGCAGCTTTATCTACATTGTTTTGGGAGGGAAGAGAGAGAGATGGGGAAGAGTGAGCAATGAGAGGTTTAGGAGGAGTGTGTTAGCGTGTGATCCAGGGGTGCCCAGGGATCCCCAAACTTGCATGCTCTTAAGGGGTCTGACGAAGCACACACACAAAGGCAAAACAAACTCTTAGTGTGAAAGAACTTTGATAGGATGGGTGTGTACGGAAAGGGATGAGAAAACAGGATATTACTAATAGTCTTTCAATAATACATGCCAAATTACCCATCCCCTCCTGGGCCCAGCCAAACAGGGTTCACCAAAGGTAGAGCTGCTGATGCCTGAAAGCTTGCCACAAGTCTAAGGCACCTTTTGGTAGGGAGGCGAGGGAAAGGGGTTCTGAAGCAGGTCCCAGAAAGCTGGGGCAAAAGCAGATAGCACATCAGGAAATGAGTCTCTCACCCACATGTCCCTCCTAGCATCTCTACGTGTCTGACCTCCATGTGTCTCCTCCATGATCCCTCCCCAGCAGTGCCAGGGCTCAAGCTCCCTAACACGGGGACAAACGGGTTTTTTGCAGTTATCACAACCACAGGACAAGACCTTTAGCCCAAATCTTTATAACTGCCTTTGACTTAACTACCTTTTTCTATTAATGTGAGAAGAGGCTCAGAGACATTCAAGTGCTTCCCAGGGTGTCCAAGGGAGATCGACTATCATTTAATGTCATAAATATTTAGCCCTTGAGAAGTGAAAATAAGCCATGGCACCCCTGTGAACTCAGAGTGCTCCCTAGGATGCCTCAGCACACAGTTTGGGAGCTGCAGCCTTCTATCATTTCTCTGACACACTCTGACCAATACACACATACTTCCATACACATATGGAGTATAGTCTCTTCCTGTCTTTGTGTTTTGCGCTTTTCTTTTCGACATCAACATTATGAGCACATTCAAATGTCAATAAAATTCTTTTTAAATCATTCATATCTGTGACATATACCACATCTACCATTATTCATCTAAACCTTCTCCAGTTGTTGAACTTTCTACCACTTACACTTATCATTATCTGTAAATATTTCCTTAGACTAAGTTTCTAGAAAGAGTATCACCACATGAATTTTTTAAACAATCTTAATACCTATTTCACTAATACTATATTAATAAAGTCTCATCAAAAATATGTGACATTTACCATCTCACCATACCCTTATCTGCTTTGGGTATTTTCACTTATGACATGAAATAAAATCTCTTAGCAATTTTAAGATACATTTTAGTAACAGTATTTTTAGAGTATTTTGATATTAAAGGCATGTAATATAATATAAAAATAATTGACATGGTAAAACAAGAAAAATTGACCTTATATTTAAAAAAGAAAATATTCCAATAGAGACAGAATGCAAGATTTCTGGGAAATTGAAACTAGCAGTTAAGGACTTTTATATCAGCTATCATAATAGAAGACATAAAGAGATAAATGATCATAATAAACAAATACCATGAAATCTCAGTGTAGAAATGAGAACAATGTAAATGAACCAAATGGAAATTCTAGAACTTATAAGTGCTGTATCTAAAAAAGAAAAAATATTTGTGTTTATCCTGGTTTATGAAGACTTTTGGATTTTTAAGTTCTTAGATTTTCCCCTAACTTGGGATGCCTTAAGTTATTATTTTTCAAGTACTTTGTTAAGGCTCAATTTTTCTTTTTCATTTGGGTATTCCAGTTACATCTTGTTAGACTGTTTAATATTGGACTACAGCTTCTTTTTGTTGTTGTTGTTCTTAAGTTCAGATATTTTCTGGTAATTTGTCTACAAGTTTATTGACCTTTCTTCTGCTACCCTACTATACTTTTAAAATCTCCAGTGAATTATTTATTTTAGGTAAAATATGAACAAGGCCATTCACATAGGAGCTGGGAGGGGTAGAGACGGGAGGAGGAGCTGGAGGGGTCCTGAGAGACTGAGGAGGGCCTGGCAGGACTGTGCTCTCGGTCCCAAGATTTAGAAAGAGGTGGCCCCTTTCATTTCATTTAATCCTCAGGGTGACCCTCCCAAGCGGCAGATATAGCCTTATCTTCATTCGTAGAAAGTGAGTCTTGCCCTCACTGTACAGATAAGCAATTGGAAGCTCAGAGCCACCAGCTTAGTGAGCACTTACTGAGTGCTTATTCTGTGTGAAACTTCGGTGAGGTTATGCAAAGTTCATTGTTATTGAATGTGTGCATGCGTGAGTGCCAGGAGGAGCCAGACTAAAATTTTAATATGCTAAGAGAGGTTGTGTGGTGGGATTATCTATGCTCCCATTTTTTTCTTTGAGCTCTTTATCTGTTTCCAGTTTTTTTTAAAAAATTTATTTATTTATGCATACAGAACTAGCATACAGGCCAGAGATCCAAGTGCAGTGCAAAGAATTCACCAGAAACAGTGGGGAGCAGAACAGGCTGACTGACGAAGCACACTGCTGAGGGGAGCAGCAAGCAGGTCAGGAAAGGTCTGCCGCATCATGTGGGTCACCTCCGGTGCACGGATCGAACTTGTGCTGAAGTGGCTTTTAGCTTCTTAGTGCTGTGCTTTAACCAGCTGCACCACCAGGGAGGGCCTGTTTCTAGTTTTCTATAACAAAAATGTGTTGCCTTTAAAATGGAGGGGGGGGGGGAATGAGTCCTGCCTCAAAAATGGACTTGGCTGATGTTGTGAAATATATTTCATGATGATATTCTTGTGGGTTGCTCTGGATGTCAGTTTTATTTTACCGAAGTAGTGGACAGCATTTCTTAATTCCATCTCCACACTTCAGACAGGGAGAGCAGGTGCATAAGGGGCAATCAGGCCTCTCTACCTCAGGGAGAAGTTCCTAGAAAAAACCCAAGCCCCAGAAGTGATCTAGACCCCTTTCAAGTTTCCTCATTCCCATGTGGCTCTAATTCCATGCTGCATCAGGTGTTAAGAGTCTGGCTGGGAGATCCCAACTGCCTTCTCTCCATCAGAGTCACAGACTAGACACTCTTGCTGGGCCTTCGCTCAGCCTCCAGGGGCCTCAGTCAGAACCCAGCAGACAGTTCATGCTCCCCTGTAGAGGGGGTGATGGAGCTGGTCCTGCTCTCCAGCCTCATTCTGGAGAGGAAAGGGAGCCGCTTAGCCGGGCGCGAGGCCAGGAGCCTGTGGCACAGCCGGGACAGGTGCTTCCGGAACCTCTCTCCGACAAAGGCGTAGATCACCGGGTTGACGCAACAGTGTGTGTTGGCGATTACCTCCGTCACCTGTATGGCCAGGTCCAGCTGTTTGCTCTGCTCACAATTATCAGCTAAAAAGACACCTTGGAAAGCAGAGACAAACACGATCAAATTGTAGGGTGTCCAAAAGAGAAAGAAGATGATCATGATGGCACAGATCAGGTGGACAGCTTTGGCCTTCTTCTCGTTGGGCCGTTTGAACAGCATTTTTATAATTCCTGTGTAGCAGACAGTCATGACCAGCAGAGGCAAAACCAAGCCCAAGATGTTCAGTTTCAGAGCCTGGAACTGTTTCCACTGACTTGAGCTTCTGTGATGGAAATGAGGACTGCAGGTGTGACGAGTGAACTCCCATTGGGTCTTAGAAAAGTAAAAGCCCGGGAGCGAGGCTAACATGGCCAGGAGCCAGATGAGGATGCTGCTGATGATACCAAAGGTGACAGTCCGGGCCCGAAGGGCAAACACAACATGGACAATGGCCAGGTACCTGTCAACGGTCAGCAAGATGATGAAAAAGATCTCACTGTACAAGCCCAAGTCATACAGCCCCGAGAGGAACTTACACATGGCATCCCCAAAAACCCAGTTATCCTTCACCTTGTAGTCAATCCAGAAGGGCAGTGTGAAGAGGAAGAGCAGGTCAGAAATGGCCAGATTCAGGAGGTAGATGCTGGTCATGCTTTTGAGCCTCTTGTATTGTATGAGGACCAGGACCACCAGGATGTTGCCAACCAGGCCAATGATGAATACCAGAGAGTACAAGGGGGGCAGCAGCTTAGCCTCAAAGGCCCTCACTTCTGTCTTCTGGCAGGGGCTTGCATCCCCATAGTCATAGTCTGTGGTCTGGTAATAGTCTGCTGAGATAGTTGAATTTTCCATCCTGGCTTTTCCACAGTTCAAGGAAAATGGTTTCTATATTGACTTCACTGTTAAAGGCAGTGAGTTCTGGAAAACAAAGACAAGGCAGTGATTATGTCTTCAATCACTTGAAAACTGTTTACTACATGTCTACAGTGTACCATGACCTAGGTCACAACTTTGCGCAAAGGAGACCCAGGTCATCTCTGCACTTGGGGAGCTTATAGTCTAGCAGGGAGTGCGGGCAGAAACAAAGGAGTATGCAAATCATTAATTCAATGACTGCAAAATGTTGTGAAGGAAAAGTCTAGGGAATGGAGACAAGGGAATGCCTCCCCCACCATGCTGCTCTGCCCCCTAGTCTCACCACTGGCCTTAATCTGGGGGTGCATCATTTCTCCCTATTGTAGGGGAAGTCTGGAGTGATTAGGCCACATTTCTAATGAGAATGAAAACCAGGAAAACAACCCTAGCAAAGAGTCAAATCTTAGAAAGAGATACTCATGTTTTGGGGTACCTGATCTTAGTCAAAAGTGACATAAAACCCAGGAGTACATGAAAACATGGGTATTTTTTGAGGGGTTTGTCACAAATACTGGGGGATATCTTTGTGTAGAATGTCATTTATAGTCAGGGCCAAGAATGTGCATAAAAACTGTCCTATTCTGGGGGAGCAGGGCGGGAAGTGTACGGGACTATGGTGATGACACAGGGGTGAAATAGTGATGGGAAGCCCACGGGGATTACAACTGAGATGGAAAAAGTCACCAAATGATGTAAAAATAAACCATTATAATGTAATATATGTAAAAAAAAAAAGTGACCTGTGAGCTAAGTTTTAAGAAGTATGTTACCATAACTTATAAATTTTAGGTTTAAAATAAAAATATATATTGCTTAATGTAAAAAGCAAAAAACAAAAACTGTCCTATCCCACATACCAATAGTGCTGCCCCAGTGAAATCCTAGATGAGCTCCATCCCTTTGCAGATGCTGGCTCTGAGGGCCACCGTGTGCACAAGGCTGGCGCTGGCCCGTGTCACGCAGCTCTCAGGCGGCTCAGGTAGACCTGGGGAACGCTGTAGGTCTTCTGTCAGAGCCGTGAGGAGGATGCAGAGGAAAGGACAGGCTGGCAGCAGTGGGGTGAAGGAGCACTTCCTGGACGTCAGTAAATATTAAGGGACCCCTTCCTTGAAGGACCCTTCTCTGAAGCCTGTCACCATCAGGAAGGTCCCAGGTGCCAACCCTCCTCCGGGCAATATGCCCTCTCACCCAGGTCCTCCCACTCAGTTTCTCTGCAGCTAATCTGGAAAACAAACTATTTTTGACAACGATGGACACTCACTGTCCCTTCCTTGTGAAGGGCACATTGAACATTTTCAACCTGTTGCCGCCAATCTGAGTCGACTTAACCTAAGTGCCATGAGTGAAGGAGGTGGCAGCGGCATCATAATTCCCATCTAGCACTGAGCCTTCTACAATGCCTAATGCATATGTCCTGCTCACGAAACTCACATTTCTACAGGACATTGGAAATGAAGGCACATAGCAGAGGTGTGGGAGTTGTCAGCACCCTGGCTGGGGGTGTCATTTCCTGTCAAAGCCATCCCTGTGCCTCAGCCTGTAACTGGGTGGTCCCTAGGAAAAGGGAAGTTCCAGGTTCCCTGCCCCCCCGCCCCCCCCCCCGAAGGATGGTGGTGCTGAGCAGAGGAAAAAGGAGAGAAGAGAAGGAAACTGAAGAGAGAGAAAGAAGGAAGCAGGATGGAGAACCAGATGGAGACCTGAGGAAGCCACATGGAGCAGCAAGCATGTGATGAAGAAACCGGGCTTGTTTCCTGACCCTGGACTGGTTGAGGCAGATGTGGGTGAGATACCTGTAGGGAGGTGACTATGGCAGTGTTTATATTGATTTTGATTTTGCTCTTTTGCTCCCAGATTTGTCTGGCCATTTCTGACCCTTTTCCTTGGGTCCCAGCCAGAAGGTGCCAGAAGGTGCTTTAGTCTTGTGGCGGCTTTCAGGCCTTGCTTTGGGCCAATCCCTTTTGGGTGGACTTTTGCTCACAAGGGGATGGGTAAGTTCAGGTGATTGATTTAGAAATTATATTCTTTGTGTTTCGTATTGTATATTCACTGAATTAAAGTCCCTTTTCACTAAAGTTTTATATGTTTTGTCTTGACGCGGCGGATGGCAGAACCCACTTAGAGCAGGCAGGTTTGGGGCTTCACTGGTGCCCCTCTCTCCCTGTCCTGTAACAAGCCCACCTCTCTGGACTCACACTGCCTACTCAGTGTGAGCTTTGCAGAAACCCAAGTGGGCCGTCATTGACCAAGCTGTGTTGGCAGCTTCTGATACCTGCCACTTCCGTCACTGCCAGTTCAACCAGGCAGCTGTCACTTTTGAGAGGGTTAGCAGGTTTATGGTGGAAACAACAGGCAATTTCAAAGCACACGGTACAACACTGATACTATGAACTTGGTTTCTATGGAATCCTGGCAAAGGTGAGACAGTTTGAGTGGGCATTATCAGGCAGAGTCACCTCCTCACTACCCTGTCCCCCTCCGCCCCCCCCCCCCAGCTGTAGTCACTAATTTCCCAGCTTGGGCACTCACTCATTTCCCACAGCTCCAGGGCAGCCTGCTCCTAAAGGGGGTGGACTGCGGGGGGCCTTAGAGGAGAGTCCAAAGCACAGAGCTGCCTGCCCTCCAAGATGCTGGCCCTGCTGCCAGACTGGACAGTGCTCAGCAGCAACCTGGAGTCTAGAAATTTCCAGTGCCAGCATGCTCTAGTCTGGGAATGGGTAAAGGCTCTGAGTCGCACGTTTGGAGTTGGCTTGTGCTGGCTCATTAGGAACAGTGTGTGCATTTCTTCCCTCTCTACAGGTGACATGTGGGGAATATTTACACCAAACACCAGAAATCGGGTCCTTTTTTCCCCCCAGTAGAGTCACTTGTTCAACATTTGCTAACATATAAATAACCTACTGTCTAAAAAACCCAAAGCTGTACTGCTATTTGGGATGAGGTCCAAAGAGCCAAAGAGTGACACAAACCATGGTGGTGGGCAAAGGTCTGGAGCTTTTAACTTTGAAAATCTGAGACCTCTGGAGAAATGGCTGAAGCAGAGACCTCTGAGCAGCCCTCTAATTGCAGAATAAAATTCTGATCTGTCTTTTGGTTGGATGCCAAGAGGTCACCTTCTTGCCTTCTTGGGATGAACTCAATCTTTTTCAAAGACTGCCCATGATTCTCAATTTGAAGATTCTTGGTTCTATTGTCAAGAAATTGGTTCAATGCCAGATCATTCTGGAGTCTGCAAGTTTTTTTCTAAATCATGTTTTCCTCTTGCTGCAATTTCTACATATACCATATTTAGTATTCATTTACATGGGAAAATTTGGCAAGTAATTTCTCCTTGAATAGCTTTCAACAGAAAGTACCTCTTGTGTAAACCTAGACCCTTAAAATACATACAGTATTATAAATACATTACCACAAAAAATACTTTAGCTTTTTCTTAAAAAAAAAAAAAAGTGCCTCTTGCTCCTTAATACTGAGCTGACTTTCTTAATCACCAACAAGAAAGCTCTTTTTTAGCAACACAACAAAACTATTTTATTTCTGAGCCAGTCTTGCAAATCCACCCATTTGCAGTATTAATATAATGTAAAGGCAGCAGTGGTTACTTAGACATCTTGCTATGCACAAAGAATTCTCTGCTTTTATGCAGATGGACAGATATGCAAATGATGTCCTAGAATGGGAGACAAACTAGCCCTCTCTGACTGCACCCATGTCTTTAAACAAGACTGTCCTCCACAATAACTGACCAGACAGAAGAGACAAATGCCAAATGCTACTTACTCTGGCTTCAAGGGACTTTGTCCATGAAGTCTATGTTTCAGGAGCTTTTATAGTCTATCAAAATGAGGTTCAAGGTCTTGATTTGGTAGGAAGTACTCAGCTTCCTGTGGCTTGAGAACCAAGTCTCTGGGCTCACCCTTTGAGAATGACAAGAAAGGACAGAGTTCTTCTTTTTGTATGGCTGGGCCCATAAATGGCCAACACCCAGCAAGGTCAGTTCCTGAAGGTGAAGTTCAGGGCAGGACTGGCCGTGTGCACTTGGTGCCCTGCTCCTCTTTGAAGAGCTCAAGCTTGGTGAAGGGGATGGGAGGGAGGGGCTGGGTGGAGGTCAGTGGGGCAAGGTGGGAGGCTGTAGGTTGTTCCCGGAATTTGTGGGGCAATGAGCGTCGGGAGGGGCAGGGCAGAGCATTCTTGTGTCTTTTTTTTTTTTTTTTTTTGATACTTCAAGTGGAAGGAATTAAATGGGAACCATGAGTCCTGTTCCTCAAAGAAAAATCCCCGTCTGGCAGAGAGTGAGTGAGGTGGCGGCTACTCCTTGGCGCCCTATTTCCTCCACCTCTACCTGCCGCTGGACTCTCTGCTCCCAGCACCTGCCCTCCCAAACCAACATGGTGATTTGCCCTCGAGGAAACTCCGGCCTGGAGTGAGCACAGGTGAGGCTGGCCTGGGCTGGCTCATTCTGTTCCTGCGCTGCCGTAAGCAGTGGTCCAGACCCGTCCAGCTCTGTTCCAATCCCAGTTCTCCATTGGAGGCAGGGAGCGGTGACCGACCGCCTGGCAAATCAGATGGTCCTGCATTCGGCTCTGGGTCCCCTTTCACTGACTTTGGACTCTTTCCTCTCCGTCTCTTTTCTCTCACACTGTAAAATATAGTATCTCTTTCCTCTTCTGTAAAATGAGGTTGATAATGCTGCTTTATGGAGGTGATTAAATGAAGACAATTTGGCATCTTGCGTCAGACATTAAAGATGCTTGTCTTAGTCTAGGACCCCTCAGGTTTTCACCTTGAGACCAGCATTCAGGTGCGAGTCGTGTCTTCTCAGGGGATCCAGGACACACTGCAGAAGAGGGGGAAGGGGGTAGGGAAACAGAAGGAGCTCACGGGGATTTTATTGCACCCCTGTCCTCTGGGGAGCAGAGTTCTGTCCTACTGAGGGGTGAGGGGAAGTGTGTGCACCTAACCTCTCCTCACACAGGTCTGGATCAGGACGGCTTCTCTGGTATTCTGGCTCCTTGTCTGCTCTGGTCCGGCATCGCATTGAGTCTGCTCTCCAGCAAGGAGCCCTGTGTTTCCAGGAAGCAGCTTGTGGGTGTGGGGGTACACACTGAGGTGAGACCCTGGGGCCTAGACAACAGCTCTGGTTCTCAGGAAGCCCAGTGCCAGCCAAAGGCAGCACAGCCACATGCCAGCCTTCCAAGGTATTTGGGTCATCGCTCAGCCCTGGCCCCAAACTAATATGGGGGTGTGTGCGTTGCTTGGCTACTTGTAACATTTTGCTGGCAAGTCAGCATCCAGAGAGTGTGGAGGCTTTGCGGCCTGCCTCTGCCTGCCCGTGGCTAAGGTGAGAAACAGCCTGGATCCTCTGCTTCTTGGCTGGCCTCCAGCACTCTCAGGCTTCTGGGGAGAGGACCTGTCAAGCAGAGAACATGTTCAGTCACGGAGTATTACTGAGTGCCCACAAGGTGCCAGGAACTGTGCTACACACCAGGGTGATGACAGTGAGCAAGAGCTCTCTTTAGAGTCCTTGAAGCAGTCATCCCAGATGACTAAGGAAGTCGCTACAACAGGGAACCCGTGGGTTTCCAGGGAAGTTCCCTGCAATGAGGAAGAGCACTCCTGCTTGGAGGAAGGGAGGCAGCGGTGAGGGATCTCGCTAGAGCAGAGGTTCTCAAAGTGGACCAGCAATCTAGGCCCCTTCTGGAAACAGCTGGGGTGCAAATTCTCCAACTTCCTCCTACATCTACTGCATCAGGAATTCTGTGGCAGCAATCTTTTTGAACCCACAATTCCTATATGTGCTCAATTTTGGGGACCATGATCAAGAGTTTTGCTGGACCTTTAGCCCAAAGTTCCATGTGAGCTCGCTGAGCAGGAGCAGAGGTGAACGGATTTCTTTTGCTTTTAGTTTGAAGCAGAAACACAAGGCTGCTCAATAGCTGCCCAACACCTGTGTCCAAGTCACACCAAGGGCCTTCAAGGGTGAGAGGCAAAGCACTTACTCACATATGGGCTTTTTTTTTTTTTTAAGATTTATTTATTTACGCATACCAGAACTGGGGTACAGGCTAGAGGTGGTGGGGGGAGTGAGAGGATTCACCAGAGACCAAGTGGGGAATGGAACAGGTATATTGATTGAAATACACTGCTAAAGGGGAGCAGTGGGGTGGGGGGTGGTCAGGAGAGGTCTGCTGTGCCATGTGGGTCAGCCCCCTGGCTGGGGATTAAATTCGTGCTGCAGTGGCTGCAGATAGCTTCATAGTGCTGTCTTTAACCCCTTGTGCCATCAGAGACCCAGGCTTTTTTTTTTTTTTTTAACACAGGTAGGATGTGTGACGCACATTGTTTTTTATCTCTCTTTTGTCAGCAAACCTCACAGCAAGAGATTCTCCACCAGCACACAGTTTAGCCAGTGACTGCAACCCCAACATAGTGGGAACAGATAGCAGCATCAATGAGGTCACCCCAAAAGACTGTAACCAGACTTTGCCCAGGACTCTGATTCCTTAGTTCAACCCCCTCCAGAGTCAGCCCCATGACCCCGGCTGCTGGCTCACCCCTCTTTGACTTCCCACGCTGCCTTTTTGCATCCCATTTATGACATCTGATCTTGACCTCATCCTGTTCCTTTTTCTCCTTTCCTGTCTCAACTTCAGTCTTCCAGAAATCTTATAACTGTTTAACCATGCCAGGGCAAGTCCAGGCTCCTTGACTGCCTGGGATCTGGTTGTCACTGAAGTCCACCTTCCAGGGTCAGCTGCCACACCAGTAGATGAGTTTTCAAGACGCTGGACAAAGGAGTGTGGCCATGGCACTCTGTTGCCCAACCTGGGGAGACACTGTCCCAGCATGGGGCAAAGAGGCCGCATGTGATCCAGGCCACTTCAGGACCCCAAAGCCAGGGGGGTGAGGGTGCCTTAGATGGACAGGGGGTTTGGGAGACACAGGTGGGCACCCCGCAGTCACCTACCCTTCCCTTTTAGCCCCCTTGACCCTCCCATACTGCATAATTTCCCTCTCCAGCCTCTCTTTCCACCACCCTTCCACAAATCCTGGTCATTTTCCTTCCTAAATCTCTGTCTTTCCCAGCCTACCTGGCCTCTCCAGGCTTTCTTTCAGCACCCAGCATTCCATAACCCGCTACCTGGCAAACCAGGGAAGCAGATCCAATGGTTCTAGGTCTCTTTCTCTGTCCTGTTCAGCTGTCCCGTCACCTGGCACATGGCCTAAGTGGAAGAGGGTATTTGGCACAGCATTATCAGACCTGTCATCGTGCCTGGGTCTCACAAGAGGACATCTCCTCTCTGGTCCTCCACACTCTCCACAGCAGGAAGCCACCAATGAGAGGCAGGTGCTGGGGTTTAAGGGTCTTGGGGAGCTGGAGATGTCTCTGTATACCCACTTGTATAGATCGGATACTTTTGACAATATATAACAAAAGAATTCACTCGAAATAACTCCCAAAAGTTTACAAAATGTTTTTGTTATTATTACTACCCCACTTATTGACGCTAGGCTCTAACATTTTCTTGTAAAAAGTCTTGACGATCTCACTACCACTTCTCTGTCTTTGCAGCCTAACAAACAACTTCAAGACGCAGGATCTTGAAATCACTATGTCGCGTTCTGCGACTCTGTGGGGCAGCAGGCATCCCTCCCAGGCTGGCAGTCAGTGCTGATGCCAACAGAGGTCCTCAGCTGTCCACCTGCCACTCACCTCCAGTCGGTCAGACTGGCTTCGGGGCTTGCTGGCTTCTGACGCCCCCAGAAGTTGCAAAGCATCTTTAGGAATCACATAATATCACTTCTACATTTGTCAGAGTGTCACAAAGCCAAGCCCCAATCAAGGAGCTGAAAAATAACACCTACCTTTGTAGGAGGATGATGGAATCACATTGCAAATGGCGGTGTGTGCCAGGACAGGTGTTTGCCCTGGGCCGGCATTTCCCCTGGCTCCTGATCCAAGAGTCCTCAGCTCCCTTCCTCCCATGCTCTCATCCTCCCCATTCCTCAGCCACTCGCTCCTCTGATCCTGGCTGCTGGAGCTCGCCGTCAACATACCCGTAACCCTTCCTGTCCAGCTACCAGCCCAGCCTGACACAGCCCATCACGGCCAGCTCCCTGTAGCTCCACTGCTCTCTGGCCCCAGTGAGATCACTGATAACTAACTTTCCACCACCCTCCAACATCTCTGTCCTTATTTCCTATTATCACCTTCAAGCCCATGGGTCATCATTAGCCCGGCCAGACCCAACCCCTTCCCCGCCCCCCTACCTCCTCCCCACCTCGTGCCCCGCACGCGCCCCCCCACCCCAGTGTGGTGGCAGCTGGAGCAGACCTGCCACCTAGTGTCACTCTTAGTGAGTGCTAGCCACACTCTGGGGGCCTTGCCGTCCTTGTCTTAGGCATGATCTCAGGTTTGGCCTTTCTCTTAAACCTCCACTACCTCCTGTCCACCTCATTCTTAGCTGACGACCTGATTCTTATTATCTCTGAGGAAATGGAAGAGCTCATCAGAACACATTTTCTATCTCCCCCACCCTTCTCTGGGCCCTGTGCTCTGCTCACCCCAGTCCTGTTTTTACAGGGTAGCCCAGAGTGGACTTGGGCTGCCTGTCTGTGGGGCCTCACCGGCACACTCACAATTCAGTTGTTCTGCAGGTACACACAAAAGGGTCAATAATGGGTTTATTTACAAAAGGGGAAAGGAATAGGAAACAACCCAGATAAAGAGAGCAGGATACAAAGTACCTGGAATACCTTACCAGCTCAGCTGACTGGAAATGTTGAATCACACGTCCAGAGAGGCATTTTCTGAGTGAGAGAGTGAGAGATGTAATCGCGCCCTATTTATTCCCCAAATGTCCCAGAATTCCTGCTAGGGCCGCCCTTGGGTTCTGGCAGTTCTCTCCCTGGTACTGCTGGGAGTTGTAGTTTCCAATCACTGGAGTAGTGTGCAGGGTCCCGAAAGCTGGAGTAGGGGGTGGGGCCCACAGACTCTGCAGAGTTCCTTTAGGACATCCTTCCCCTTAACACTGTGAGTGAACTCTCATCTAAGTCCATCCTTTCTACTATTCACAGGGCCCTTTCCTCTTGCCCCCACTCAAGGGC